AAGGGGCGGAAGGGGGGGGGGGGCTGTGTGTAATCATTAGGATTAACCGATGAGCCCAGGCTTATTGGTTAATTGTGTAAATGACCACACTGACACCCCAACATCCACTTACACAGCTACAGCAGTACTGCTTGCCTCAGTGGACACATTCCCTACTGCAGTGATCACCATCCGGTAGAGGGGGATCTACTGGTGGATCTTGGATCGTCTAACAGGCGATCCAACAGGTCTGGCCAGAAGACTATCAAGCACTGGCACTAACTGCCCCTTCCCCCACTGCTCTGCTGCACCTGCCTTGCAGTAGGGATGTATCAGTGTAGTTAAGCAAAAGCGTATCCGTTAATGCTATAGATTGCTCACATTACCCCACCCCCTGCCAGTACGTTTTTTAGCAGGCTGGTCAGTAACCTGGCTCAGTTCTGGCTTGCACTGGGTCTGGAAGCTCAGACCCCACCCGGGACAGGGGCTGTATCAGAGGCAGCACCATAGGGCAGCAGGCAGCTGGTCCATGAGGGGAGCCGGTTTTTAAACTGGCTCCCCTCGTGGTCCAGCTCCCACCTGGCACCCCATACAGAGGCAGCAGTGCAGAGTGGCAGGGGGCACACTGGCTGCCAGCCTCGTCCCTGGGCACTATAGAATAATTGAGCAACCAATAAGAATTCATGAGGTTAATTGACTATTCAATTAACCGATATTTAACATCCCTACCTTGGAGCTGCCCCTTGGGAGACGCCAGCTTGTTGGGCAGGGGGGAGAGAGAGAGCGGGGGGGAGGCTGATACGGGGTTACCCCCTCTCCCACTCTGCTTCCTATCTCCAAAGATCCCAAGGAGGCACAACAGGGCTTTGCACTGGGTCTGGAAGCTCAGACCCCACCCCTTCAGATGGGCTGCTGCCACCCCATGCTGTTGCTTAAGCTGGCTCCCCTCGTGGTCCAGCTCCCACCTGGCACCCCATACAGAGGCAGCAGTGCAGAGTGGCAGGGGGCACACTGGCTGCCAGCCTCGTCCCTGGGCACTATAGAATAATTGAGCAACCAATAAGAATTCATGAGGTTAATTGACTATTCAATTAACCGATATTTAACATCCCCTACCTTGGAGCTGCCCCTTGGGAGACGCCAGCTTGTTGGGCAGGGGGGAGAGAGAGAGCGGGGGGGAGGCTGATACGGGGTTACCCCCTCTCCCACTCTGCTTCCTATCTCCAAAGATCCCAAGGAGGCACAACAGGGCTAGGGATGGAGAGAGTTGGCTGGCTGCTTTGGGAGTGCTAGGGTGAGCCTGCCTTGGTCCCACTGCACCACCACCCAGGAGCCACCTGAGGTAAGTGGTGCCCAGTTGGAGCCCCC